GCAGCTCCACATGGCCCTGAACCTGCGCAGCTGGGTGGGGAGCAGGTCTACAGGGAGCAGCTCTGGAGCCTCTGTCTGCTCGAGGGCAGGACAGGTCCAACCCCACGTGTGGAGCCTCCTTCGGCCAAGCTGGAGCCCTTCCTGAGGAGGAAGATGGATGCAGGAGAGACACCATGACAGGAAGAAGGTCTGGGACTTGGGACATTGGGGCCAGTGGAGATGGGTAAAGTTCTTTGTCACACATTCAGTCAAGCTTCAGGAGACAGCTAGGAATATGGTTGGGGGGGGCAGCAGTTTCCAGGACCGTCAGAGGGAGTGAACCCTCAGACGGGACAACTGCCCAGATTCTCTGAGAGTCTCCAATTTCATGGTTTCTGTGAGAAACAGATGCCCCAATCCATTCCTGGGACCCTTTCTCTAAGCTTGTGAGCAGCAGCTCCCGACAGGGATCCAGTACTGCGAGCAGCACCAGGCAGGTGGGGTCCAGCCCCAGTGGGAGGACACAGGTCTGGAGGGGACGCGGGGGCTCCGCCCCAGGTGAAGGTCCCACTCAGGCTCCCTGGGGAGTGAAGAACTTGGGGGATGCGGGGAAACTTCAGATAGGCTACTGCTATCAGGATCTTTCGTGTAGCACCCTGCAAAGCTGGACTTTTCTTTTCTCTTCTGTCTGTGTCTTAGCCCGAGGACAGCTGCCAGGCCAAGAGCTAGTTGCCAGATGCGTAGTTTGCGAGAGCGCTGTGCAGTGATGGCCTGATGCGCTCCCCGTTAATGCACGTGAAACAAAGCAGCATGAGGAAGAATCCATTGGTTAGACAAGGGAATGCCTCCTGTTCACATCTATTCCTCCAGGCTCACCCCTCTCCAACCTCTGCACCCTACTTCTGCCCAGGTCACCTCTGTGGGCCATCAGTGGGCTTTCACGATTGCTAGCTTCCAGTTGGTTTTGCTAATGGGAGCCTCGGCCAGAGATTGGAGGGTAGGAAGAGAGTGAGGCCAGGGTCCTAGAACCACTGGACATAAGCCATGTGAAACCCCCAGTTCTGTTCACACCAGTGTCTCAACCTTTGGGGAGCCCGCGCTCAAGCTCGTGGGAAATGCCGACAGCCAGGTTTTATGGAAGGGCTCTTGCCACAGTGTTGTGTGCGTATGGGATGGACAGCAGTGCTGTACCTACTTACAGGCCACGACTGGCCACCAGTGGCTCATCACTGCACAGGGAACGAAGTCGTTCTGGTCTTGCCTGCACAAAACGATGCTGCCAGGTACTTGTGGAAAAGCCAAGTTGCAGAAAACAGCGGATCGGTCAGGGTCCATCCAAGAAACAGAATCAGTAGAAGAGAAGTGGCCAGCAGTCATGGAGGCTGTGAAGCAAGTGCCAAGTCCTCAGAGCAAAGACTCAGGAGGACAAGATCACCAACTGATGCTTTTCCACAGGCTGGAGACTCGGGGAAGCCTAAGCTTTTGAAGGCCTTATGACTGATTATGTCAGGCCCACCAGGATACCTTTGTTTGATTAATTTAAAGTCACTTGATTAGCTGCTTTAACCGCATCTGCAAAATCATTTCACAGCAGCGTTGGGGTTAGCATCTAAGCATCAGGTAGGTGTGTGAGCTACGGCTGGCCACCACTTCCTTCCTTCCTCATAGCCCACCGTCAGGAATCTACCTGGAAAGTCCTTCTGGGAGCAACTCAGCCCAGCAAGTAGATACATCAAAAGCACACTAGTAGGATAACCCTGTCTGTAAAAACACGAACACACACTGAACACTTGAGCTGCAGAGAAAAGGATCTGCAATGAACTACCCGAACTTAACCGGTGTAAATCTGGGGGTAAGATGGGAACGTGGATAAGGGAAGAGAGGGGCTTGATTTCCTATTTTTGTACTGAGATTTTGTTTTACTACAAATATGTATTATTTTAGTGATTTAACCATAGCAAACAGTGTCTTAAAGGTTTTCTGTCTTTTGAGAGCGCTGAGTGCGGGAGGGGCGGAGGGACAGAGAGCATGCCAAGCCCGGGTGCAGAGCCTGACTCGGGGCTCCATCTCACCGTCCTGAGATCACGACCTGAGCCAAAATCAAGAGCTGGACATTCAGCCCACTGAGGCACTCAGGTGCCCCTAAAAAAATGTTTTATAAAATCTTGGAGTGGAGAAGGCCTTTCTAATTACAACAGGACAGATAGTTTTGGCCATAGGGGACATGTATTTTTCATATCAAAAACCTCATAACTAAAGAGAAATAAAGAACTGGAAAAAATATTGGTATTTCACTTTCTCAATTCTAAGAAGCAGTTTCCCTCTCATCTCTCCCATGCTCACCCACCACCAAAAAAACCTGTGGTTAGTATTACAATGGAAGAAACAGATAGTAAGGAAAAGGACTGGGGCTCAACACAGAGGCTTACAAACCCAATAAAAACAGGTGTAAGAACTTACAGGGAATTTACTCACTAAAAGGCCAAGAAATCAAAATGAAAACAAGAGTGATTAATCAAACGATTAAAAACAGTCCCCCCCACTCCCAGTATCCCCGACAGGGAACGTCCAGCTCAGCCCCAGCTTTTGTCAGTGGACAAAAGCACACATCTGCTGTTCGGTCAGCAGCAACAGTGCAGATGCTGGGAGGCAGATGTGCAACAACGGCGGCTGCTCCCTAAACCGCCCAGGACGGCTGGTGCTCAGGCAGCAACAAGGGGCAGGCACACAACTCCAAGCACACTACACCCCAAAATGTCAAATGAATATTCACACTGTGCACTAAAAAGAGGGTAAGGGGAGCTGCTGGGTGGCTCGGGTCAGGATCCTGGAGCCCTGGGTTTGAGCCCCACCTCGCTCCCTGCTCAGCAGGGAGTCTGCTTGAGATTCTCTCCCTTGGCCTCTGCCCCTCCCCCTGCTCTCTTTTTAAAATCCTTAAAAAAAAAAAAAAGGCTAAGAAAACACATCAAACACCCCGTGATGGTCTCTGGGAAGTTTTTTACATTTCTTTTTTGTTGTTGTTTTTTTTAAAGATTTTATTTATTTTAGAAAGAGAGAAAGAGAGCATACGAGTGGAGAGAGGAGCAGAGAGAGACAGAGAAGCTGAATCCACATTGAGTGGGAGCCAGACTTGGGGTTCGATCCCACAATGCCAAGATTACGACCTGAGCTGAAATCAAGAATCAGATGCTTTAACAGACTAAGCCACCCAGGCACCCATATATATATATATGCACATATATGTATATATTTATATATATACATATATATATATTTATATATATATACATATATATATATATTTTAAGATTTTGTCTATTTGTGAGAGAGAGAGTGAGCACACGCACAAGTACTGGGAGCAGCAGGCAGAGGGAGACAGAAGCAGACTGCCCGCTGACCAGGGAGCCCGATGTGAGGCTCAATCCCAGGACCCCAAGATCATGACCCCCAACACCTGAGCCGAAGGCAGACACTTAACCGACTGAGCCACCCAAGCACCCCTCTACATTTTTTATAAGTTTTTGCATTTCACAAATGCCCTACAAAAAAATTTATACTTAGAGGGCTCAGTGGGTCAAAGCCTCTGCCTTCGGCTCAGGTCATGATCCTAGGGTCCTGGGATTGAGCCCCACATCCGGCTCTCTGCTCAGTGGGGAGCCTGCTTCGCTTCCTCTCTCTCTGCCTGCCTCTCTGCCTACTTGTGATCTCTGTCAAATAAATACATAAAATCTTAAAAAAAAAAAAAACCAAAACACATTCAGGGGCACCTGGGTGGCTCAGTGGGTTAAGCCTCTGCCTTCGGCTCAGGTCATGATCCCAGGGTCCTGGGATCGAGCCCCGCATCGGGCTCTCTGCTCAGTGGGGAGCCTGCTTCCTCCTCTCTCTTTCTGCCTGCCTCTCTGCCTACTTGTGATCTCTCTTCCTCTGTCAAATAAATAAAATCTTAAAAAAAAAATACACATTCACTGGTCAGGTCTTCAGCTCTGCTTGGCACTGGTGGTGCCTGCCAGCATTCTCAGGGTTTCTGGCGTGTGAGGACTGATGGAGAAGAGGGGTCACTTAGAACCCCCAGGAGGCTCCTCCCCAGCCAGCGCCTTCTGCTGACAGCAGATCCCACTCAGCCTGGCTGGGGCTCCTGAGACCCGGCCCAGGAGTCTTACAGACCCGTTTGTGGGTCCTGGCTTCAGTCACCACTACCCTCCAGCCTTGCCCTGGCTTGCTGACAAACCCTCCGTCCACCTCAGAACCCCAAATATCCCCAGGCCAGATGCTGTGTGGACTCTAGCCCTGCACCCCACCTGGACTAGGTGGCTGGGGCCCCACAGAGTGTGATTTTCCGCAGTCCTAGTAACAAATGAACCACCAAAAATAGCCAACATCTTTTTTTTTTTTCTTTTCCTGATCACAGGTATTTGGAAAACAGATGAGTGAAGGAAGAAAACAAAACCCACCCACGATCCCCATGGGACTTACTGAAGCCCGAGTGTCCATCCGGGCACAGGCTGGGAGGGCTGAGAAACGCGGCTCTCCTGCAGGCACCCAGGCCCGCGGTGGTGGGGAGCCCCTGCTCCGGCTCAGCCTGTAGGCTGCTGGACCACCGCCCCGCCGGTCCCTGCTCCCCCGGACACCGATGTCCTGCTGCACAGGTGAACGGCAGGCTTGCCAGCTTCCTGCCTCCGCGCCTCCCCCAGGCGGGCTCTCTGCCCTGTTCGTTGTTGCTTAGAGAGGAGGAGGGAGAGGGTCTCCGGCAGACTCCCCGCCCAGCGCGGAGCCTGACGCGGGGCTCGATCTCACGACCCTGAGATCCTGACCAGAGCGGTCCTCGAGAGTCCGACCCTCAACCAGCAGAGGCCCCCGGGCGCCCCGGGTTCTCCGACGTTTACCAACTGCCTGGGGAGCCCAGCGGGGAGCCCGTCTGGCCTCAGCGCCGGCCCGGGCACAGTCTGGGCCACGGACTTTGGGGCGCGGGACGAGGGCTCACCGCCGGCCACGGGCCCGGCCCCTGCACGGCCCGTCTTCGCTGTGCAGCCGGTAGTGCTCGCTCAGCATGTAGCTCCTGCAGAAGGCCTTGGCGCACTCGCCGCAGGCGAACGGCCTCTCCGGGCTGTGTGTCTTCTGGTGCAGCGTCAGGTTGGACTTCTGGCTGAAGGCCTTGCCGCAGTCCCCGCACCCGAACGGCTTCTCGCCCGTGTGCAGCCGCTGGCGCAGCAGCAGCAGGGACCTGCGCCGGAAGGGCCTGCAGCACACGGCGCGCAGGTGGAGCCCGGCGCCCGCGGGGGGCTTGGGCGGCGCGGTCTTCACGGGGGCCCTCCCGCGCGTGCAGGCGGTGGCGCTTGAGCAGCGAGGACCCCCGGATGAAGTGCTGGCCGCACTGCAGGCATGGGTAAGGCCTCTCCCCGCTGTGCAGGCGGCCGTGCTCCGTGAGCGTGAACCTGCAGCAGAAGGCCCTCCCGCACTCGTATGGCTTTTCCCCGGTATGGAACTTCTGGTGCTGCTGGAGCCGCGAGCTGCGGCCGAAGGCCTTCCTGCGGTCGCCGCACTCGTAAGGCTTGTCCCGCGCGTGGACCCTGCGGTGGGCCGCGAGCTGCGCGCTCTGCCGGAAGGCCTTGCCGCACTCGCTGCACTGGTGGGGCTTAGCCCCGGTGTGGATGACCTGGCACCGGAGCAGCAGCGACTTGAACTTGAAGGCCTTGCCGCAGGCACAGCCATACGTCCTCTCCCCTGCAGCAGCCACCCGGCCGGGGCCCCACCCTCCCTCCACCGGGCCGGGGGAGATGGTCGAAGGTCCCCGCTGGGCCGCCTGCCTCAGCGTCGAGGGGTCGTCTCTCTGACCCACCCTCAGGACTGCCACTCCGCTGGGGACGCTTCGGCCTCCCCTTAGGGAGGTGCCCCCAAACCGTGCCCAATAACCCTAACTGCTTAGAAGACACTGTCCTTAGAGAAGATCCCTTGACCACAGCCTCCATCCTAGAATCTGGAAGAATGAACAGAGAATGGAAAAATAACCTGGCCTCTATAATTCATAGAAGAAACTCCGTGATTTGAAGACAGAACCTTTATGTCAAAGAAATAGGGAGGTTTGGGAACTTCTTCCAAGAATCTGTAAAATTGGGGTTTGTGTAAGAAAGAGGACCTAAAGGAAGGTTAATAAGGGCTTAAGCACTGCGGGAAGTTGGCTTAGAAGAGCTCCCGAAAGGGGAGAAGGGAAGACACAGGCTTGGTCTAAAGGACTGCGGGGGGGGTGGGGGGCGAACTTGAGGCAGGAGGGAGGTCTGCTGGGTGTGGGCTGCTGCTATCCTTTGCTCCCCTCTTGCTCTAAGGACTCACCCACAGCTCACCCACTCAGCAGACACATCAGCCCCAAGCAGGGCCCATGGACGGCCTTTCCCCCCCTTTCTGCAGCCTCTGCAGTCCCAACCCCAGGCCCTGGCTCAGAGAACCAAAGTAGCCCAAGGGTCTTCCCTGTTGGGTCCTCCTCACACACTCGCTGCCCCCACAGACCTGGCCCGGCACCTCAGACAACTGGGAAGGGCATTTCATGCACCTGGGTTCCTTGTGTGGGTTAGTGTTGGGTGACTCTGGATGACAACCAAGGCATTTGGTAGGAATTCTGGCCCTGATGTGAGGACCTAAATGTACAGCCTTCGCACTGCCCAAGCACCCAGGGGCTATGGAGAGTTGTGTGAATGCCAGGCCCACTTATCTGGGCGCATGCGGGCTGCAGACACCTGCTCCTGAGTCACCTGCAGAATCAAAGCCCCTGGCTCCTCCCCTTGCTCCAAGAGGGAGATCAGTGCTGGTTTAGCAACAAGAAAGCCTACATGCAGAGGAGAGCAATAGGTGTCGGGGAGCAGAGGGAAGGAAGGATGCCCTGCTGCAGGGCTGGAGGCCTTAGGGGACACATGGCACTTGGGATGGATTGGGATCACCTACTTTCCCAGAAGCGGGGCAGTTGGGTGGTCACAGAGAGATGGAGGCAGCCCTCCAGCTTCCCTAAACATGCTGGACCTTGAATTTGGAAAAGAATCAACTCTCCTAAGAGACCAGTGGAAGAGGCAGGGTTGCCCGAGCCCCGCCGAGGGATGGATGGGGAAGCCTCATCCAGCGAGGCCACGTGCCCGTAGTTCTCCAGCATCACATCCCTGTATAGCGCCCGCTGGTTGGGGGCCAGGCAACTCCACTCTATCCTCGTGAAGTACACGGCCATGTCCTCAAACACAACGGCCTCCTGCAACCACAAACCCTGCTGTCTGGGGATGTCTGGGCAGGGGATGCAGAGACCAGGTCAGGGATATTCGGGCACCTGTTCAGCTCTGGGAGTCAAGACCTCTGTCTCTGTGGTCCCTGCTGCATCCCCAAGGCCTGGCACAGAGAGGACACCTCAACACTCCCCAGGGAAAGTGGAACAGTCCTACTGCCATAAAGGGTGTGGGTCTCAACCTTGGCCTCATGCCCCCCAACAGGCTAACAGGGATCTGGGGAGGGGCACCCTGGAGATGTTGGTGGTCGAGCCTCTATATTGGTGGGGTGCTCCCATCCTATTCTCTGCTTCTCTGATCTGAGGAGAGAAGCCAAAGGCTGTGTGCACAAAGAAGAGCTGAGCACTCACACCAGGACGGAGGCGGGTGCTGGGGCAGGGGACAGAGACCCTGACCTTCCTGGCTGACCCTGGAAGTGCAAGGGCTACAGGAGATCCTGGGCAACCCACTTCTGCCCAAAGCCTCAGGAAGGATGTGACAGAGCACTGTGCAGTTTCACAGGGAGGGGGCAGACCCTGCCTTACAGCATCCCTCCCGTGACTCACCTGCAGGAATGAGAGCTACGTGAATGGGCCTGGGGCCCCTGGGAAGGTGCTCAGGGCTGAAAAGCTGAGGGCTGGGGATGAAGGCAGCCAAAAGGCTCAGAAGGGGCACTCACCTGGAGTGTGGGCGTCACAAGTCGCACCGCCATTCCAGGATCCCCGTCAGGGGAAGAGCAGGTGCTGGGGACAGTCAGTGTTAAGTGGAAGGAGGCAGGCCTGAGTCCCATCCACCCCTGTCCCTGTCCCCAGAAGGACCACCCAGATACAGAAGAGACAGGAAAGGGCAAACACCTGGTCAGCCCAGATGATACCCTCATATCCCAAGAAGCCCCGCCCTGAGACCTACTCACCCACAGGGCCCACCCCTCACTCCTGATTTTCCCAGCGGCGTCTTCCTGGACCAGCCTATATAAAATGCCACCCCCACCGCAGAATTCGTTCCCTACCCTCACTCCCTGTTTTACTTATTTTTTCCCGTTTTCCTTTTCTTTACGGCACCTGTGTTGACACAATGCAGTCAACTTACGTGCTCTTCTCTGCCTTACCCCATGAGCTAAGGCCTGCGGTCTGAACCCCCGAGCCTGGAGGAGGGCCTGACACAAACCAGGTGTTCAGCGGGGGCCTGTGGAATGAAGGAGTGTCCCCATGACAGTGGGTGACTCTGCAACCAGCAAGGCCACTCGTAAGCAGACGAAAGCAGAAAAACAAATCTGGCAGCACAACACCCCAGCACATTAGCTTAGTTTCTTTCTGGGCGATTCTTATTTCCCTTCTTTCCATTTTTCTGATTTCTCCAAAACTTACTGCTCACTTACAAATGCATGTTGCAGACGGAGAACAGTTATTTAAAAACCAATAAATACAATTCCGCCTCCAGAGTAGGCCCTGATCTTCATGTCCCTTTCTCAATGGATACCTGAGCTCTCCTGGTTAGGTGGAGGTCTTGGGGTACACTTTTCTGTGGGGCTTGAGCCTCCGAAGTAGCTGCCACTTTGTAAAGCGATGTCTCTTTCAGGCACGAGTTAACAGAAATCCTGTAGTTATGATGCCGTGAGGCGACAGTTGGCAGGAGAGCTCTTTAAACATGTGACTGTGTAACAGGCTTCACACAATGATCTGAGAGGTGTGGCGGGTCCTCTGTGCCTGGACAGCATGACCCACAAATGCAAAGAGCAGAACCACACCACTACCCTCTGGGCGGCCTGTTCAGGGCAGTCTGTGGGCAGGACCTGCCTGGACCACTGCCGCTGCCGCTGATCTGCCGTCCTCCTCACCCCAGTGAGGCAACCAGAGCATCTCAAGAGGATGAGCAGCTCATGGGAAGACCTGGCGCTCAGCTCTGCACACACCGTTCTCCACAGTTAGGAGGGGACGTTACTGTGCTGGTCTTTGCTTGCCTGTATCTGGGGAATGCACGTCCACAGGGAGGGGCCCTCTGCTTAGAGAAAGAAAACACCTAAGTTCAGTCCTTCCTGTGAACAAGGGAGTAAGTCTTCAATCAGAGAAAAACAGGGCTGAGTTGAAAAAAGTGGAGCAGGGGAAATAACGGTAACGAGATAGCCCGGGCTCCTGCTCAGAATCCGGGGGGAGAGTATCCGGGGGAGGGGATGCTGACTTCGACGGGGGAGCAGGGAGGGCTTTCGGGGGGACTGCGTTTACTGGTGCCTGGAGGACCAGCAGAAGTCATTCTTTCCTCGGATTTAGAAGAAAACCTCTGTTCCCCGGGGGCCTGCGGCACCTTGCGCCGCTGCCTCACCCACCCCCGCTGACCACACTGCGGCCGGACTGGTGTCCACTGTTACTCGAAGCAGCCCAAGCCGTTCCCGCGCGCTCTCCCTCGTCCGCAAGGATCAGCGCGACCGCTCAGCCAGCAGGTTTACTTCTGGAAGAAACCTCGTCTCCCACCAGCCTGTGCTCGGGGCTCGTTTTCTTCAGGCCCTTGCGCGGATCAACAACTACTTTCTTACTTGTTCGTTGCCTCTGCGACACGAACGCCTCACCCCTACTGCAGGATATGCTCCCCGAGGCCAGGGACGTCGTCTGGCTTCACGGCGGTATCCCCGGCACGAGCAGGGTCCTCGGGACACGGGAAGGACTCCGCGCCGCGGTCGGACCGGCGACGCAGCCCCGGGGAGAGGCCGCGCACGGGGGTGGCCAGTCGGCACCCGCGGATGCGCCCCGGCACCTGCAGGCCGGAGGACGAGGGGGACGCAGCCCGGACAGAACTGGTCTCCCAGGCCTCCCACCCCCGCAGCCTCAGCTCTGCGTGGCCACCCAAGCTCTGGGGACGCAAGACTCAGCCCCCGGTCCGCTCGCCTCCCGCTGCAGTCGGTGGGGCCAACGGGAACCCGGACGCTCCCTAAGGCCCAGAACCGAAGGAAAAGCGAGGAGCGGCGCCGGCTGCGGGTCGGCACCCCCCGCGGTGCTCAGCGCGGCCTCTGTGCGGACCACAGCCTCAGGCAGGCCGGAATCGGAGAACGGCCCTCATCCCGCTCCGATCCCCGCCCCGCAGCCAGGGTCCACTCAACCTGTGCGGCCATCCCCGACCGCTCGAGGAGCGGCGCCCGGGTGCGGGCAGTCCGCTTCCGGCCCGCCCCCGGAAACGCCCCCCCCCCCGGCTGCTCTAGGAGGCTCGGAGGACCGCGCGCCTCGGTAGACGCCCTCTGGCTCCCGGGGCCGCTGGCAGGCGATGGCTAGGGCTCCGGGAAGGGTGAGGCGCTGTTTTGGAGTGGATCCCGCCGGAGCCCTCAGGTCCGAGGGGCGAGCGCGCTGCCGGAGTCGGAGGTCCAGGCGAAGGGCTGAACCAAACTTGCAAGTTTGGTTCCAGACCACTGCAATAAAGTGAATGAATT